ACCCACCCACTCAATTCGGTAGCATGCCGTTGTGTCTCCATGATTATGCAACCTGGATGTAAGACATTCTATCAGTTAACAGAAAATTTCGCATAGAACTCTCACTGGAAACAATATTGACCTGGAGAATTATCAATATTTCTTGCCTGGTTTGTTTCAACTGTATTAGTTTTGATTTCAGAGTTTCCTGATCTGATTTAATGCTTGATTACTACAGATATCAAGGTTAATATATACAAACTCTGGTAATGCTATCTTAGCATTAGCATCAAATGCTATTCACCTGCTTTGGAAGTGGCAAAGAAATGAACGCAATTCCAGTGGAAAGGTAAATGCACACCGAAATTATTGCTTTCCTCCATTTGGTAAAGAAGTGATTCTGAGGAATGAGGTAATCTTTGTTTAGGCAACAGCCAGTGTATCACCTCAATTGTGGCAACCTTCAAGTGGCATCCTAATGACAAATGACGTGACCGAACCAAACCATGAGGAAGCTGTTTCCTGCTTTGCTTTGTCCAAGAATGACTCTTATGTGATGTCAGCATCTGGAGGAAAGATCTCCTTGTTCAATATGATGACATTCAAGGTATAGGAAAATTGGCTTTTTTTATTTCTACATTTACCCAGAGATCAGGTGCTGAATTTTGAATTTTCTTCTGGATGCAGACAATGACGACTTTCATGCCCCCACCTCCAGCAGCAACTTTTCTAGCATTCCATCCTCAAGATAATAACATTATCGCTATTGGCATGGATGATTCTACCATCCAGATATATAATGTTCGAGTGGATGAGGTATGAGAGATAAATGAGAAGTTTTTGCTGGTATTGGCAGTCATCAGAATTTCATTTTTTTGGGCCAGTTACCATATATCGTTATTCACTAGATGTCAATATCTTGATGAAGGTTAAAAGCAAGCTTAAAGGCCACTCTAAAAGGATAACTGGCCTCGCCTTCTCTCATTCGCTTAATGTGCTGGTTTCTTCAGGAGCTGATTCTCAGGTTAATGGCTTGATACTCTTGGCTATCATGTAATATTTGACTTAGTTCTCAGTGATTTGTTAGACTACTCTCAAGATTAATGTGGAGAATACATGTATATGATAGATTGTATTTTATCTACTAACAGTGTTGCATATAATGCATAACGCCCTCCATCCGATTCAATACTAAGCAAATCAACTAGGCATGGGAATTAGAAGTAATCTCACTGCATTTCATATTAGAAGATGATAAATATTTTGGTTGTATTTAGAAGCTTGATGGAGAATAAGATCATTTCATGCTCTTTATAAGAGCTGAGTGAGTTCTGATTTTTTGAAGATCCTCATAATCATACATGAAATTATTGTTTTAGAAGTGCTTCAAGCATTTTGGGAGACACTAAAATCTATAAAATATAGCCTAAGATGAGCTGAGGAGTATATTGCAGGTTATCTCCTTTTGCGCAAGCTCCCCTCTGCAGTCATGTTTAGTTATCTGACATTTTTAACGTCTTCCGTTGATGACAAATGCTAAGGCAATATCCTTTCCAAATATCATTCGATTAATCTATCAAAGTTATCATTCTGCATTTCTGGCACTCTTTAAAGGAACATTTTATATATTTCTCTGTACTCTTCTTATCCATTTGTATTCATCAACTTCATCTGCTTCTGTACAGCTGTGTGTATGGAGCACCGATGGGTGGGAAAAGCAGAGAGCTAGATCCTTGCAGCTGCTGGGGAGATCAACATCTCAGTCAGATACCAGAGTGCAGTTTCATCAGGACCAAACTCATTTCCTGGTTGTGCATGAGGCGCAGATTGCTATATATGAAACAACAAAATTGGAATGTGTAAAGCAGGTAAGTCCTCTCTGACTGCAGTTGGTTATTCAAATGCCACTTGATCTCAATATTAATACATAATATCTTCTTCTACAGTGGGTTCCACGTGAAAGTGCTGCCCCTATTTCTCATGCGACATTCTCGTGTGATAGCCAGCTGATATATGCCAGTTTCTTGGATGCAACTGTTTGCGTATTCACTTTTACGCCCCTCCATATGCGATGCCGTATTATTCCTTCAGCTTATCTATCACCAAGTATTAGGTATTTTTTTCCTGCCCCGCTAACTTATTTACTGCTCTAATTGTAAGATGTTCTGCCCCCACTATTGAAGACAAAAGAAACATCTTTTCTTTTAAAAGTTAGACCTTCATTAGATAGAATAGTGAAATCAGTATCAGAGCAATATCCAGGCTTGAAGTCTGAACTGCAACTTGTCACCCCTAAAAAAAAGGATCTTCCACAGATTTGGCCATTGGTATAAAGATATTAAGCAATGCATAGGCTATGTTGAAACGTAAATTTAATGCAGACAAGGGGACTACAAAGTTCACCATTCTAGACCATATTCTTTCTTCAAAATATTGACCACGTGCCAATAGATATCCCAAAAGAATTCATTTTGCAATTATGTATTTGTAATATCATTTATTATCAATGAAGTGGGGCGTCTGACTGCCAGGATTATCATTTCTAGCATCACAGGAAAATCCCTCCAAATACTATGTTTCAGGTGTTTGATTTTTGTTACTTATTTGCATCCCGAGTCCTCACAATAAGTAATTCTCTGTCTGATATCCTCGGGAAGTAATGTGAGGATACATGGTCAATTGGCCGGACAGATTTCGTCTCTGATATTTGAAGTAATTTTTCAAAAACCCTGTATATTTTGTGCAGCAATTCGAATGTCCACCCAGTTGTAGTTGCAGCACATCCACAAGATCCAAACCAGTTCGCATTAGGCTTGTCAGATGGTAGTGTTCATGTTTTCGAACCACTTGAATCTGAAGGCAAATGGGGGGTCCCTCCGCCACTTGAAAATGGATCAGCAAATGGTATGCCAACCGCTCCATCTGCTGGAGCTTCAGGCTCCGAACAAGCACCAAGATAACAAAGAGGCCACTGAGTAAAGGTGTTGTGTGTTGTTTTGCTGAATATTTCCCAAATTTCAGTTCAGACTAACGGGTAAATGTTCGTTCTGTGTTCGTTGTAGTAGACTAACCAGAGTCCTCCAAGTTAAAACACAACTGTAATGTATCGCCCAACATTTGTGTTCTTTGCAATTGAAAGGGAAAGAAAATCTTGACCGGGGCTAGGAGTCTTAGCACTAGTTGCAGCTTAAGCTTCTTGGTTTTTGTACCAACGTTGTGACTTTCATTTGTGGTACTGTATTACAGATGTTCTTGGTACAGGACATAACTTAGCCCAGTAGTCTCCAATGTGTAAATGTACAACTCATGCGGTAAGATGTAATGTAAAATGAATGCATTACTCTTGTAATATCTTTAGTTTAGTGAGGAAACCTATCCTACCAGCTTTGTAATTTGAGTTATGCTTCAATTGGTTCTCCGTATATCTACTTCAGCTCAACTTTTTGCACCATTTTTGGAACATAAGTGTAATCTTTCTATTACATGCTGAGATTTCAGACACACGATGTAACTCTAAAATCCTTTGACGAAGAAATATTGTGAAAAAGATAATGATCAGATTCCAATTCTGAGCTTGCAATTAATGTCGGATTCTTTCAGTTCATAACGTTGACAGAACCCAACTATTACCTACCCATGCCGTTTATTTCTACATTATTTTAGCTCCCTTCAGACTAAGGGGTTAAACGGGTGGGCCGGGCCGGGTTGCTATTTTTTGGACCCGTACGGGTTATGGGCTGGTTACGGGTTGGGGCTTAACGGGTTTAACGGGTTCGGGTTCCTCCGGGTAAAATTGAACCGTACGGGTTACGGGTTGAGGGGGTCGGGCCGGGCCGGGTTTAGTATATTTTTTATTTTTTTTGTATTTTGTATAACTATTGTAAGTTATATTAATACTTTGTATTAATTTAAAGATTACAAGTTATATTAATACAAAAGTATTAATATAAATTGCAAGTGCTAAATTTATTTCAAAATTCAAAATTAAAGTTTGCATTTAAAAAGTAAATTAACAAAAAATAGTAAAACTAATTTTTCATGCATAATAAATTAACATTAATCTAACAAACTAAAACATTAAGCATAAATACGTCTAATAATTTTAAAATAACACAAATTGTCTTAAAATCTTAAATACGAATTTTCGGAGTACGCTCAAGACAATACTTGATATGCCTCCTTAAACTGCATGTGCCAGACTCTGAACGAAAATTTAAGACTTGACCACAGTTCTTGCACTTTACTTTCTGACCTTCTTCATTTTCTTCTACCACCTCAAAGTGTTGCCAAACATATGAGCGCACTCTAGAAGTATGAGGCATGATTTAAATTGAATTGAGATTTGAGAATTAAGAATTGAGAATTTGAGATTGAGACTTGAAANCTTCAGTCTGAATTTTCATAGTAGACAAAAGGTTGCCATGAAAAATACACTAACCATTAAATGTGATTAAAAATGAAAACATGTTATTCGTAGTTACGTCCTATATCAAAGGCTGATACCTTATTTATTTTAAATAAATACCCTTTTAAAAAATTATATTCCATAGCTACCTTTTTATTTTTTATAGTCAAATATCTAGTTATGGTCACCTCTTACCCTTAAGCCATAAAATAAGTTTTGTCTTATTTTTCTCTCTCCAACCTCACCACCGTTGAAGATTCTGCTTCAGAATTAGAGTTTTCCGACGAAGAATTACTGATGTTGCTTCAGCCTCACCGCCGCCGCTGAGCAACTTGAATTTTCTTGAACTCCGTCAAGCCTCCTAGGATCTCAAATTCAAGTTGCACAAAATTTGGACATCAATGGAAAACTCTGTCGCATGCTACAATTCCAAGAAAAAGTACTTTATAAGCAAGGAAAGTTGCAATCTTTATCTATTTAGAAGTTTCAAAACGAGTGAATTCTATTTATTTTTTTAAATAGAAGCTAAAAGAGCCAGAATATAATTTAATATAGATTGTAAAGAATAGGTTTTTTGAAGCACACATGAGGGTATTATGGTAACAGGAACATTGACGTTTCGAGTCAGAATTGTGGCCCTCTCGACGAGACAACATTAGGGTTGTTCTTGAACGAAGACGACAGAGTTTGGGGCTGAGCAACTTGAATTTTCTGTTAATATATTTCAATGTATCTCGCTGCATCTCCATGTATTTCATTGTATTCATTGTCTTTTTTTCATTATATTTCAATATATCTAGCTGTATTTCATTGTATTCACTGTCTCATTGTATTGTATTCCATGAATGTATTCATATATTTTTTTAATTAATATAATTTATGTATTCAGATGTATATATGTATTCAAATTGCTCTATTTTTGTTGTATTTATCGGCTGGAAAATATATTCAGCATATTTTCTCTGAAGATTGCTATGTTTTTGGGGTGTTTTTCGGTTGAGAATCTTTTTTATAACTGGAAATACAAATTTTGTGTGTTATAATTGAGTTTGTTGAGTTATATTAGGAGTCTATTATATTAATTGATTCACTTTCCGTTTAAAAACAACTGAATAGACCATGAATTGCGCTATTTATGTTACTGTATTCACAAACACATATCGTGAATACATCGAATACAGTCGAATACAATAATTTGTCTAGCTATAATCCCCTGTTTCACGCCGTGAATACAGTCGAATACAAAAATCTGTCTAGCTGTAATCCCTTGTTTCACGCCTAGAAATGCTACTATATTCATGAATACAGTAGTTTAAATACATCAAATACACTCTAAAGACCCTTAAAATATAGCTATAGGAAGTAATATAACAAATGGTAGTTGCACCTAGCTAATAACCACTAAAATATAGCGATTTCTGAAAATTTCTTTAAGAAGTAAGGGATCTTTACATAAATAGTCGATGATATTCATTGTTTACTTTTTATAGCCATATACATAATTTATATATTGATTATACATAATTATACACATATAATATATAAATTACGCATATACCTCCATCAACTATTTTTAATTTAAGCGATTGAATGAACAGTTATTTGAATTTTCTCTTATAAATAATACTAATAGTTGGTGTCAAAAGTTAACAAAGACGGGTGGGTCCAGTCAGTTTTAAAGACAACTATTAAGCATCAGCCAGTTAAACTTCGACATATCAAATTGAAGATAATCGACATATAGCCTTTTGGCCAAGCAATTTGTGTTTGACTAATTAATTTAAAAAGCATTTTTGAGCAACAATTAGTATTTGGCCAAACTTTTAAAAACTGCTTCTAAATATATTTTTCACAAACGTGCTTCTCAAAAAAAATACTTTTTGAGAGAAGCTACTTTTTTCTGTTTCTCCAAAACTATTTAAGCACTTTTTTTCATTCCAGAAGCTTGGCCAAACAACTCAATTATTAGCCAAAAAGTGTTTTTGCCCAAAAAAAAAAACACTTTTGGCCGAATATAAGCTTGGCCAAACAGGCTATTAATCCTTTTATATTTCCTCTGAAAACCCACTAGTGAGCTAATGTATTCATGTCATTTCCATAATAATCTAAAAATCCCCTGCTTTTGGCGAACACTTAAAAAAACAGCCATAGCTTGCACAAAAATACAACATTTGCTTAGAATATAGCACCCAAAATGATGTCGAGACCCAACATAAAGGCCTTAATACACAACCAAGGACTGAATTGAGAATCACACGACATAATGACCACAGAATACTCGTAGACAGTTCCTTAGGCAAGAGTTCACTGGGAATAGAAATGGTACAAAAGCCAAGCATTTCATGGCATCGAGAACTTGCCAAGGAGAATAATCATTCATTTCCACATCTGAACCTTAGTCAGAAAGCATACTAAAGCCAGATGGACCAGAACCGACAAAAGAACCTCGACAGCAGCACGCCAATTCAGAAGCGCATCACTGTTTCTTAACAGTTTGACAACAAATATTTACAAAACCTATTTACCTCCATCCAGTGCCAAGGAAGCTTATGTACATTTTCCTTCATACACAATATGAAAGAAAGCTTCATGCTGTGGCACTATGAAAAGACCAAGACACACTGAAGAATGAGATCTAACCAAATCTTCAGCAGACGGATTATTTACAGTTCAACAAATAACACATTTTATTGCTGATCTATGTACAACACTTCTCCAGCACTGACCAGGTGATCTCAGAAAGTATCCTTGCACCATCTATTCCGGCCTGTAGTTCACCAGATTTGGGAGCTCAGTCGACTGCAGTTTCTTGATGTCATTTGCAGTCACTTTGCAGGATTCCAAGGTAAGTGATTTCAAGTTCTTGAGTTGCTTCAGATGTTGCAACCCTGCACTTGTTATGCGGGAATTTGAAACATTCAGAGACACCAGCTGCGTCAACCCTGCATTCCAGTGCAGACGAAGTAGATTCGTAAGAAATTCAAACAAATTTAAAGACTATTTCGTAGGGGGGGAAATGCATGTTTTGTTCTAATTCTCGAAGAAAAATCAACAAAATTGGTGTATCAAATATCAATTGCTAAAGCTCCTTGAGAAGAACAAAGGGAGGAATTACGGAGAGTACTCCCAGCCAAATGGCTAATCCAGCTACTTTGCCCAAAAGCATGCGATAAAAAAGCCTTGAGATGGCGGAAGATAAACGTGCTATACCTTTGCTCAGATTAGTAAAATCAAAGAGGAAAAAAAAAAAGCCATGACACTGGGAAAAAAAGCACAAAAGAATGCAACAATACCAGAAATCGCTTCCAAGCTCTTATCCGTGAGGTGACTGTTTTGAGAAAGATTTAGCAATGTCAAGGACGTCAGGTCCTTGATGTTCTTTACACCAGCATCGGTTAAACCTCCACCACAGATTTCCAGAGAACGCAGATTCTTAAAATCTATCATCAGACATGATTGACCAGTATAATCATTAGCTCAGAAGTATGATGTGATGATCTATACACATTCTAATTACTCTAAGGTGTAAACATATGAACTGGGATTTTATGATTCTTAAAGGGCAAAAAGAAGAGCAGGGGCATGACCAATCTGAAAATCTAGTAAGACAACTGCAGTAGCACTGGCATATCAGGATTAATGTTTGCTTCACATGAATAACAAGTCACCCTTAGCCACAAGCAACAGGAACGAACTGATTAACATATCTTCTTTTGTTTGTTTGATAAGTACACTATCTTACATAATCATATTACCATCAATAGGACTATAGCTAAAGCCCCGACCCTGAAGAGGAATAAACAGAATAGAGGGACAAGGGGAGGGGAACATCAAATGTTTTATTACACAGATTGAGACGAAAGGGAGAGCACCGAGATGTTGCATAAAAGAGACAGATCAGACATACGTCGAAGATAGCTTGTTCCAGAATCAGTGATCCTAGCTCCAAAGAGGTCCAAGTGAGTTAGCCCAGTCAAGCCTGCATTTGTACCATATCGGACAAACTAATAATTAATACCTAAATTATACATTTCTAAAACAGAAATCATTATAATATCTAAATTTACACATTTCTAAAACAAAAATCATAATCCAGTTACATGTAACACAAGGCCTCACATAGTAAGCTAAATCGAGTTGTAAAATATGTAAGCATTAGATTGACATTATTATAATGCTAGAGACAATCTATTTCACCAATAAAAAACAAAATAAAAAAAAACAAAGTAAAGACATTCCCAGGCTTCCAAATTCAACTAGTAAAAATTAATAGCAAAAAAGAGACGAAAGATTTACACATCGAAAACACCGGGCGCCAGACCAATATCCAAGGAGAGGGATTCTCGTCAAGTGATGTCAAGGAGGACATTCACAAGGAGTCGAGCAAAGAATTCCATAACTTGCATTTGATGTTGACGAAGATGGATGTCTTTGAAGAGATCAAGGAAGGACCTTACGAGGATCACAACCTCCTCCTTACAATGAAGTTCGAAATATGGAGATGATACAACACTTCATCCGGAGATGGGAGATCAGAAAATATGGAGATGATACAACAATTCATCCGGAGATGGGAGATGACATGGACCACCAAAAGATGAGTTTAGAGACTCTTGAATGCCCAAGACTTTGCAGCCTACTCAAAGGAGACGCAAGCTCAACAACTTGGAAGATGTAGAATGCGGACTGACGGGGCCCTAACCACTTGACTAGCTGACAGGGCGGTATTACCTATGTTTCGGACTTCCTCATGTGTTTTGAGAGAGATGTTTATAGGTCTTGAACCTTATTTCTATTAGGAGGTCATTAGTTAATTCATATTAATTTTTGTATATTTTCCAAACTTAGGATCTTTGATCTCAATTTTAACACTATCTTCTACATCTCTACTCTATTTCCTTTTCCTTTTTGATTTTCATTTTCTTGTAATTTGGCGTCTTGTGTGACAAGAATGTGCCACCAAAACCTACAGGTAAGTCCTATAAAGTGGTGGTTGACCAACTATGTTGTGTGGGGCGCTCAAAGTCCTACAAAGTGGTGGTTGACCAACTATGTTGTGTGGGGCGGAGCGCTGGCCAGTCAAGAACTCCCATATCCAAGAATAAATGAGGATGTTGAGATGGATTTGCAGGCATACTAAGTTGGATAAGATTAGGAATGAAGATATCTATGTTAAAGTGGGTGTGGCTCCCATAGAGGACAAGATGCAGGAAGCGAGGGTTAGATGGTTTGGGCATATGAAAGGGAGAAGCTTAAATGCCCCTGTAAGGAGGTGCGAGTGGTTTGCTCTGGCGGTTATGAGAGGAGGTAGAAGAGGTAGAGGGCAGCCAAAGAAGCATTGGGGAGAGATGATCAGGAAGGACATGACGCGACTTCAGCTTACCGAGGACATGACCTTGATATGAGGGTGTGGAAATCGAGAATTATGGTAAGAGATTAGCAGAAAGTCAAGCATTTTTCTATTCCATACCGGGGGTTTCAGGGTTGGTCTAATAGTGTCTTATTCTTAGACCGCTAGTATTACATGTTGTTTTCCTACTACGTTGTTGTTGTTACTGCTTGTTGTTGTTGCTTCCTTCCGCCTAATTTTCTAGTCCTTACAATGTTGTTACTTTCTTTCTGGCTTTTGTGGTCGATACTGCTTGTTTCTATAGTTGCTTTTCATTTTTTTGAGCCAAGAGTCTACCTGAAACAACCTTTCTACCTCCTAAGGGTAGGGGTAAGGTTTGCGTACACAGTACCCTCCCCAGACCCCACTTGTGGGACTCCACTGCGTTTGTTGTTTTTTTGTAATTTGGGTATTGTCATTTGGTATCAGCATTTTTTTTTTTTGAGAATGCATTTGGTATCAGCATTTTGGCTTAAGCTTGTTCTTACAAATCAAAGTTCCTTAGTTCTACGCCCCAAAATTGAAAGAGTACAAAAAAAAAAAAAAAAAGTTCTCCTGGTTGTGGGACCATTTACCCTCTTGCCGAATTTTCTGAAATTTTTAGAAGGTTTGAGACGTTATGGGAGCTTGTGTGTTGTTGGGCAGCATTAGATAATGATCGAAATTGACGAGGGTGTTGAGATCCTTGTTTCATCTGGAAAAATTAAGAGAAATTTTGCCACATTCTTTCCAAATCTCGTAGCTGATTGTGTGCGGATATTCTGCATTGTTTTGACTTTTGAGTGCAGAAATTTGTCCTTCCAAAAAAAAAATCTTCAACTTGCCGATTTTGAGACATTTGATTCACGAGGAAAATAGATTGAGACAGACAGTGTTACCAAAGATACTGTTGAGGGAAAATTCTTACTCGTAAGTGCTGCAAGTCCGGTATCAGTTATTTGGCGTGCGTCCAGATTGAGTGACCTCAAAGAGGACAGACCACAAAGCTTCCTTAGACCACTGTCAGTGACAACAGTGAAGGACAGATTTAAGCTGTCTAGATTCCTCAATCCTACAGAGAAATGAACAAACAAATTGCATTAGCACAAAATGCAAAGTAGAGTCCACTTAACCAATTACGGCATGGGCTTTGCCAAAAATTACTCTCTAAAGATAGTAGTTCAATGCTTTCCCTTGAGCTAGCATCTATTCACACTCCCATGGAAATAACATTCAAGAAATGGATTTAGATGGGCTAAAAGGAAACGAACCAATTCATAGATCCTCAGTTATAACATTCAAATTTCAATAGCCATTGTCACTACTCTCAATCTGCTTCATGCAACTTTACTGCAGCTTTGAGACCAAAAAACTTTATCTGGAACATTCAGTTTTTATTTCCATAATTGTTATCCAGACTTGGTTTCCAAGGAGTTTTGTTGAATTATTGCAGACATCATTTAAGCATAGTACTAATCTTGTATCTTCCTATTCTTAGATATGTATTATTATTCGTTTTGTTGTTCGCTTCCGTTATTTTATTACCTTGGTGTTGCTATGGTTTGTTGCTTCCTTTACATTGTTGCTTGAGCCGAGGGTCCATAGGAAACAACCTCATACCATTCCAAGATAGGGGTAAGGTCTACGCCGACACTACCCTCCCCAGACACCACTTGTGACACTTGTGAGAGTACACACTTGTGATATTACACTGGATTTGTTGTTGTATTTAAGCATAGAGCAAGACCAAAGTTGATGCAGCCAATTAATTATTTAGCATCTCTTAGATTTACTTATACTACATTTAATTTGCTATGTTCACCCAAAAAAGCAACCTAGAAAACAAAGCAAAGCACAATCATCTTGTCACAAGTGGGATGAAACCCAGTCCAGCCATATTCTTGAATTTCTGAATGCTTCAGCCGAATAAAGAAGAAACAGAATACAGTTGAAATTTTCTACTCCATGCACAATGTAAAAGAGATACCTGAGAGATGACGGATCCCATTGTTTCCAACTTCAGTGTCAGATAACTCCAAACTCTTCAGGCGATGAAGACCTGAACAGAGAATACCAAAGAAGAGGGAGATTAGCAAATAAAACATAGGCAAGTCCTCAGAATAAAGTGAGGAAGAATTTTAAGAATGAATCTTGACCAAAGAAATGGTCAAGACATCTATTATAAAAAAGGCATAAGGATCACAGGCATAAAATTGTCCGGACGAGAGGATTAAGACTACTCTCCCGGGCAAGAAATCACAGTTAACCTTCAATTTCCCTTTTTAGTTGAGAACACATTAAAGCAAAAGTCTTTATTAAATTAATTTGTGGAATAGCTTATAAGTTGAATGATAGGGGAATGAAGTCCTGATTGATGTTGATAGTGAAACACTGACCTGACAAATTAATCAGCCCTTCATCCTTAATCCTACATGAATCCAGGTTTAAGCTCTCCAAGTTTGTGAAACCTGCTCAAAGCAAGACAAAAGCTTGCATAAATTTACAAGATCGGAACTACATGCTTTTATCTCCTTTTTGGGAGGTAAAATCCAACTAAAGCCCCATGCTAGTCAACTCAAGTCCATAAGATAGTATCTTTAACCGGCCTAATAAGGTAACTGAACTAGCAATCCCCTTCCTCTTCTTTCTCCTTCATTTTTTTGGTCGTGGAAGGGGAAGGGTGTGTGTGCGTAAGAGAGAGAGGGGGGGNGAGGCATACAAAGTCCCTACACAATAATTTGGTAAGCCATCCTATCCCATCCCCGACCACCACCATTTACATTAAAAGCTGAACCATGATTAAAGTTCTCAAAAAAGAGCGCTGAATGTTATTCCAACAAGTAACATTAGGCCTCCCTAAAGCTACAGCAGAAACAGAACGAGCAGGGAATATCCCAACCACGCGAAAGACGCATGTGAAAACAAAATCACCTTTCAGGTGCACAAGAATGGCATCTGTGATCTCGTTGAATCCCAAATTCAGCACTTTCAAACTCTGCAAACCTACAGAAAAATGAAAAATGATGTAGACGAGTTAACTTCGATTTTCGAAAATTATGATCACAATGCATCTGAAATGATGTGCCAAGTCAGAACATAAGAGCCGATAAATTAATAATAAAAATATAAACTCACTCGAAAACTTCTCACACCCATCATCAGTCAAACAACATCTGCTCAGGTTTAAATATAGCAGAGCATGAAGAGCTGCAAAAACAGGAAAAACATACATCAAAAACTGAAATTAAAAAATGGGAAGGTGGCAAAGGAAACAAGCATTTTCTGAAGTAGAGGATTTCTCAGATTTGGTAAAACCCCCATCACTAGATTTTAACATCGATAGGACTAGCAAACAGGCTTTAGTCATTACAATTGCCAAGTAGTTAACTGACAGCCCGGAATGCTATATTCGCGTACAGTCTAATTTCGTACAGACAATACCTGAAAGAGACTCCAGGCACGCTGCAGTGACAGGACAACCCTCCATATTCAACAGGGTAAGCTTTTCTAGAGCTGACCAAGAACAAAAGAAACAACAAAGCTTCATTACGATAGCCTATATACAATTGCAATAAATAAGAAAGGACGAAGAAATTTTTTAAGTGCAGAATACCACACATGCATCACAAGACGTGCTCTGGCTGGCTCCATTCAAATTTGTTATCTAGCAAATGAAACCCTTAAATAGACTGGAAAAATAAACATCAACTATTGTCTGTTCATCGTGCTACAAAATTAGAGTACTGGTAAGCCCTGTGGGTTCAAAGAGACTTCGGGGTGACTGGGCTCGTTAAATATTAAACTCCTCATCTCTAAATGAAATGAGGCAGTCTCAATTTACCCAGTTACTGCACCTTTCTCGGCCTTTTGGCTAAGATCAAGTGTGTGTGATACCCTTTTCAATGCCTTGATTACAACTCTTCTACGGATCAGTTGCGATGGCTAAGATCAAGTGTGTGTGATACCCTTTTCAATCCCTTGATTACAACTCTTCTACAGATCAGTTGCGAAGGGGGATTCCAACCATCTCGTAAATAGGTATTACCTTCGATTAAAGCACTTAATGAGGTCTAAACATTAGCCAGTTCAATAGCCAAGACCCAACTCCGAAATCTCACTTAGAAATACCTTAAATCCCAAACCAAATGGGGGTAATAATCAGGTGGCCTTGCAGGTCCAGAACTGCTAGTTGAGAGAAAAGGGCATCCCTTTGTCATATCCATCTACTAAAGGTGTGGGATATTAGGCGACAACCAACAGTACTCAACATGGGAGAATATGTACCTTTCAGAAAAGTAACACCATAATCTGTGACCTTACTGGATGAAATTTGCAACACTTTAAGATTTGTCAGGCCTGAAATACAAACATAAAACAACTTTATCACAAACAAAATATGAACACAGAACATTTCAGCACAAGTAGTAAAAAGATCGCCTGCTATCCTCTATATCTCATTGAAGTTCAGCTTTCCGTGCATGAGGTGTCACATTAAGTAATTTTGTGAAAATTAAAAAGCAAAATTCAGCATGCGCACAATTTTGTACCAGACTACTCCACAGGGTACTGTTACCTCATACCAGCATATGTACAGGGTAACTGCCACCAAAGGCTTAGGCATATGGGAAGAAATCACCTAATATTTTTTTGTTTCTGTTGGAATTTGAAACCTGATCCCCAAGGTCTGAACTCACTTCACTGGCCACTAGACCACCCTACGGGGTGCAATATTGTCGACACACTATTTCTTGTGTTATTGCAACGATATCAAACAAAAGAATAGGACAGGGAACATCTCAGAGGGAATCAAGCAGTTTCCCCAAATAATTTTTTATCGTTCTGTTGCTTATATCTCACTTAAATTAATGGCACGCGTCCTCGACATACTGTGTTATATCCAAAAGGTCCGTGTCTAGTCGAAAGAAATGAATACTCCATTAAACAAATCATAAGAGTTGAGGAGAAATATCAAAACAACTATCCTACTATCACTTGTATGGATAATAAAGAAAGAATATTATTAGCATTTCTTAACCAGATCTACAGCAGGGAAACTAAGAGACGTGTAGGAGAAAACAACACAAACATTCCCATACAATTCATATTCCAATTTTCCTAAATCCTTGCTGTTCCTGTCTTAACACAAATAGAAGACCTATCTATAAGAGACTTGCATAGCTAGAGACCTGCCTTGACAGACGCATATGCACGGACAAAAGGTGTCCTTAACATCAATGACCTTCAACATAAGCAACTGATTGTGATTTACAATGGAAAAAGGCTCATGTCTCTTTCAGTTCGATAACTAAAGCCTCTAAATTAACATAATTATCAGTCTTTCAGTAATAGCAGGCCATATCTTAAGGTTTCATTTCACCCTTCCTCTTTCACAATTCTTTCCCCAAGTTAAATGCTTTCTTATTTATGTTTTTTCCGATATACAGATACGAGGCGATCTGAATAGTAGGACAAGGCAGACATACCCGCAAGAGGCTTCATATCCGAATCTGTGATGCAGTTGCAGCAATTGATATTAAGAGATTCAAGCCTGGTTAGACCTGCCACGAATAAAAATCCTTGGATCAAGTTCAGTACATTTATGCACAGAAGACAATGGGGGCATAAAATCATGGTTTTGCTAAAATTAACTATACTAACTGTATAGAGTATTTGGTGCAATTTGGAAAACCATATGGTTTTGCTAAAATTAACTATCTCGGGTAGGTTCTCTACTTTTTGATTTACTTCTTGTATAGGGAAATTTTCCCACTTCAATAAAATTACTTCATAATATATATATATAAGCTCATACAGAAATCAAAATGCCACATAACAGGTTATACTAGAGGAAACCAGAAACATCAGAACAAGCTTAAAAGTATAACCCCGGGCGCAGATTCTTGCAGGTTCCATAAGAAAAGATGTAGAAAGCTAACATCATCAATTTCATAATACCACCATCATGTCAGTTATTCTGCAGTTCACCACAATCTTACAGTCATATCAATCACATCATATATAAAGAACAAAAGCTTTTTTTCCAAATCAGTAATGATATTTTATTATTCGATAAATGGGAGACTCCAATACACAAGATATATACACAACTAGTTACAGATTCTTCTCCAAAAATCCTATCTGATCCACCTATACACAGGGAATTGACTTGTGTTAAAAGAAATGAAGCTTGAACGGTCATCCGGGAGTTTAGCCATTCATAGACTTGGACGCAAGAATTTCGACAGCCAAATTAAGACAACAAACTTTTTCATGGAGTGTATAACTGCAACAGTATTTTGGCTTTTCAAGCTTGAAACTGTAAAGGGTGCTGTACGAACTATAGCCAGTTAAGCACCATAAGGGAAAAGAACAAACCTTTAAGATGAACCATACCGCCGTGAATTTTTGGGCACCTCTCCAAATCTAACTTCAGCAAGTTAATTAACTCAGCCAACGCACTCATCCCTTGAGCAGTAAGTATATTGTTTCTCCTAAAACTCAGAGTAGTCAAGTTTGATAGACCTGAAATCATTGTGTAGTTAGCAGCTATACCACAAATACA